TGCCTCCCGAGTGCTGGGATTAAAGGCGTGTGCCACCACGCCCAGCTGTTTGTGTTTTTATTGTAGATGGAATCCCACTGAAATGGGCCAACAGCCCATGGAAAACAGATGATGCAGAGACCTGAAAGTTCAGTGCCTTGCCACAATGGGAGAAAGATCATCCCACATCCTCCAAGGCTCAGGAATTTTTGAGGAAGAGGTTGATGGAATGAATGTAAGAGCCGGAGGAAGGGGTGGAATGTTAACTGGAAGTGTCCTCAGACCACTATGCTGGCAAGCTATAGCCACACCTCCTTCCCACACTTGTCAGGAGTTGAGGGGGGAGTCAGTTACCCCTCCCACTCAATCAGTCGACCTTAGCTGCATGTGGTGGGTGGGGGTTAAGTATATATAAGCCGAGAACACCATGAGGCACCTCTGTCACCATTTTGTGTAGCTGTCAGGAAGTTACAGGATCTATATTTGAGTGTGAACTTTCCACCACCACCTCAACATTGGTCTTACCTACCTTTGCACTGTCACACTGTAGGAAGAGTTCAGCAAACATCTGTCTTCGGATGTCAGTTTTTATGACCTCTCGGAATTCATCTGCACTGTGGCAAAGATGCTTAAGGAATTCCTCAAAAGTGTCACTTTTCAAGTCTGCAGTGTGTGTAGAGAGGTACTGCAAAAGAGTAGGTAAAGGATGACTTTAAAACATGCTCTTTATTTGTATTTCCCAAGGATTCAGTACATGTATATGAACAATAGTGGCTATAAAATGTTTCCATATCATTTGTTTACCACTCAAAGTGTTTTCATGTGAGTACCATTCTGCAGGCTATACTGCAGAGAGAGGGGACCAATCAATATCTAGTACCACACATCTATAGGACTAGATATTTTCAGAGCAATTCCTTCTGGGGTGCATCATCATTATGTAGGGCAGAATTTTCTCAGGATATGAAATAGCACAGTCCTAAAATGCTGCCAGTATATTAAAAGTTCTAAAAATTGAATGAAGTTTTTCTTTTTGAATATGGCACATAAAAGCACAAGAATTCCAAGACTGGCCATATATAACCATAAACCATAAGAATGGGGATCCTGGGGCTGGAGCTTAGCAGTTAAGAACACTGGTTGTTCTTGCAGAAGACATGGGTTTAAATCCCAGCACCCACATGGCAGCTAACAACTGTCTGTAACTCCAGTTCCAGGGGATCTGACGGCCTCTTCTGTCCTCCATGGGCATTGCATGACATGGGTGCACTTACCTACATGCAGGCAATACACTCATATACATAAAATAAAAATAATAAATAAAACATTTTTTATAAAAAGAATGGGGACCCTGCCAGATGTGATTGTGCATGCCTTTAATCCCAGCATTTGGGAAGCAGAGGCAGGTGGATCTCTGTGAGTTCAAGTGTGAGTTCAAGGCCAGCCTGGTCTACGTGGTGAGTTCCAGGCCAGCTGAGGCTGCAGGCAGACCCTGTCTCAAAAAGACAAAAGAAAAAGAAGAAAGAAAGAAAGAAAGAAAGAAAGAAAGAAAGAAAGAAAGAAAGAAAGAAAGAAAGAAAGAAGGGATCCTGAGTGGGTTTTTGTTGGTGTTGTTTGTTTGTGCTGTTTCTCTTGATCACAGTTTAATAGCAATCCCTCAGAAGTAATATTGCTAACCTATAAGGTAATTATTTCTTTGTAGGTTTGACATAGGGCTTACATCCCTTTTCACTCCTACCACTAATGTATGAATGTCCATTTCCCCTCAGGCTTATCATCAGGGTGTACTGCTATCTGGACTTTTGTCAATTTGATAGGTCAGGAACATCACATCATTGATCATTAAGACAGATAGGATGTACACTGGATAAAAATGACCAAGCATTGATAGTCAACTGTTTTCTTCCTTGCCCATACACAGAGTAGCCAAATTTGTGCTGCATACCTCACTCTCATAGCCGTAGATGAGTGGGCTAGGAGAGGTGGATTAACCTAAGCAAGGCAATTCAGATTCTCTCCAATAGAAATTGGGGAGTAGGATTCAGAAAGGGCTGGACTTGTGAATGTGTTGGGAGGAGGCAAAACTTTTATCTCTACCCTTTTAAGGTACTCAACTAGGCCTGAAACTTAAATTGACAGACAATAGACTAACATGAGGGAAACCTAAAACTCTAATGTAAGGTTTATGTGACATGGAGCCCTCACAAGGAACTAAAGACCCAAAGTTACAGAATTGGGCAGTGAATGTTTTGTTGTTAGAGTGCTTGCCAAAGAAGTGGCAAAAATGACTTGCTTTTATATTAGATTGAACAAAGAGAAGCAGTTGTAAAAGAAAAAAAGTAATTTATTCAGGATGGCTAAAAAGATTATAAGAACTATTTAACAATTTTACACTTATTTATTTACTTATTTATTTTGTGGAGGTCAGAGGACAACTTGTGGGAATTGGTTCTCTCCTTCTAATATGTGGATTCCAGGGATCAAACTCAGGTCATCAGACTCAGCCATTTTGCTGACCCTAGGAGCTATGTTAAGAGGTCTCTTTGCATAGCTTTCTGCTAGCACTCCCCACTGAAGAATGTTTCCTTTCTCCTGGCATAGAAAGGGCATCTTCCACATGCAGGTTTTGATTTCTCATTTCTGTGATGAAAGGGGAATATTAGCCCAGCACCTACATGGTTGCTACAAACCGCCCTTAACTTCCAGGGGAATCCAATGCCCTCTTCTAACCTCTGCGGCATTGCACTCACATACATGCAGGCAATACACTCATACACATAAAATAAAAATAATAAATAAGCTATAAAAAAGGGGGAAATTAGAATGGCTTTGTATCTGCTGCTTTCAAGTGTCTTTAGTTCAGAGTAATTCTTGCACCAAAGTGGCATATTTTGAGGTAGTATTTTCTGCCACCCTTCAAAAGTAAATTTAATAGTTGGGAAGATTTCTCCATGTGAACTGAGAATGCAGAGACAGTCTGGAGAGAGAGAAAGGAAGAGAGAAAAGAGAAAGCAGAGAGAAACGATAGTCTCGTTTTCCAAGTCCCTGTTCTAGTCTATCCCTAAAGCCCTTGGATCATGTACATTCCATTTTCAGCCCGACTATGTTGGTTTCTGGTTCTTTTAATTATTATGCAATTAACATGCATGTAGAAAAGTTCCATTTTAGTAATTTGCTACTAAATAATAGTGACTTGTCTTAAATAGAATACTTGTTGGCATATTCATGGTACGTTGCATCTTATCATTAGTATCATCTAGGCACATTTAGAATATAATATGTAAAAGACATATTAGGGGCTAAGAGATGGCACAGTGGTTAAGAGCACTTGCTGCTCAATCATGTGGACCAGAGTTCAAACTCCATCACCCACATAGGCTCACACAGGCACATAAATAAAATAAATTTAAAAAGACATATTCAGCTTATAGCCATATGAATGAATTATTCAACTTGGAAAAAAGCCTTCTTTTCCTCCTGTCCTCCTTCCCCCTGCCCACATTGCTTCCTTTTCTCTCTACCCTCCTTCCTTTCTAGGCAGGGTCTCATGCACAGGCTAACCTCAAATTCCCTATGTCGCTAAGAATGGCTTAAATTTTGGATCCTTCTGTCTCCACTTCCTGGGTACTGAGATTACAGGCAATGCACTACCACACCTGGTTTTTGCTGTGCTGGAGCATGCTAGGCTACCAACTCAGCTACATCCCTAGCCCCCAGCTGTTAGGACCAAGCACACCTGGAGAAGTAGAGTACTCTAAGGGGTTAAAATTCTGGGTTCAAGTCCTAGTTCTTATGCTCTTTTGTTTGTGAAATAGGTACCATAGTAGTAGCTATCTCAGTGGCCATGGTGAGGTTCAGGGAATTTATACACAGTATACATAGCATCGGTGTATTTTATGTATTCACTTTATAGTCATTTTTCTTGTCTACTGAGGTACTTAAGTCAGTGAAGACTGTTTTCTTTATAGAACAGTCCTTTCAGCTGACATATAATACATTCTTAGAAGAAGAAAACTCAATGAGATCAGAAATTTTTCAAAGTGAGATTCACATACCAGCAGCATCACCTGAGAATGTGTTGGAAATGCAAAGTTTTGAGCTCCACTCCTTACTAATGCATCAGACATTCTGGGTTGGGGATCCATCCATGTTTTAACAAACACTGTAGGTAATACAGGTGATTCTGAGGTTGCTAAAGTTTGAGAACCACTGAGATGGATGATCTGGGGTAACTGGTCCTAATTAGTCCAGTATCCTAAGATCTTATTGGCTAGTACTAGTGACTTTTTGCTTTAAAAGTAAATATTTTCTAAATTACTAATATGGGAGGATTATTACATAATGGGCATTTTTTAGAATATTGTGGCTTACACCTCTAGTGTTGAAAAAAATTATTGATCTGTGAGAAAAATCACCCTATTTTATATTTAGCCTTGGGGAAATAACTTTACAGCCATACAATTTTTTGGTTGTAGGATGCTACTGAATTAAGAATTAGTTAAAACCTTTCTTTGAAAGACACCAACATTCTGAATTTAAAACTGATAGGTTTTATGAGTGGGTATATTCTAATTATTATTTTAAGTTTTGGCTATGTAATACAAATACTACTGGTCACTCCAAATCAAATTCTAAATAGAACAATTACAGAAATTTTCTTGTTCTGTCTTACAAGAACAGAAAAAAAAGTGAAAACACATGGGAGCCTTTCTGTTTTTAATTACTGTTAATGACATCCTTCAGTTTAATAGCTCTGTAAGTTGTTAAACTTTCAAATTGTACCTAGTCAAGCTATCTCTATGAACTAGGTCTCAGTAAAATAAATTCTTCCTGAACTTTTCTGATCTAATGTTGAGAGCATGGTAAATGCTGCATTTAATAGACTCATAGCTGCTGTGAGGATTCTTCAGTGCTAGGCCTTTGAGAGGCCTGCTTGTTTAACTACAGGTACACTGGAGAGATGGTGAAGAAGCAAACTACGTTTGGAAACTACCTAAGGTATTAATTTCCAAGTTGCATTTGTAAGCTTTGGTGGCTCACAAGGAATCTATGAACAAGTATAGAATACTGAAGTACAGAGATTACACTGGTGATCAAGCATTAAGCAAAGGGATGTTCATATGGTCTTGGGCAGAAAATTAGTTTTCTAGTTTCAGAGAAGGAATTTTAAAAAGAACAGTTTTTTAATTGATGGCTAGGGCTATGGGTCAGTAGAAGAACATTTGCCCAGCATGTACAATGACATGCATTTGATCCCAAACATCACACATTAAAAAGGCAATTATTAGTAATTTTATACTTAGCAAAGGAGTAATAGTCTTGAAATCTTATGATTTTTTTCAAAGACTTGTCTAGAAAATTAACTCAACAAATTTAACATTCAGTGATAATTAATATGCAGTAATAATAAAAATATTAGACTAAAACATACAATGATGCCCTTATTGGTGAGATATAACAAGTGATGTTCAAGCTAATAGGTATACTTTATGCCTCAGAAGGTGACTGTATTTGGAGGTAGGATCTCTAAAGAGGTAATTAAATTAAAATGAGGTCTTTTGATGTTGGCCCTAATCTAACAGGATTAGTGTCATTATACGAATTTTGGACATATACAGAGGGAAGAATATGTGAAGGCACAGGGAGAAGATAGTCATTTAAAACCAGGGAGACAGACCCTCAGTA